AGCCCCGTCCAAGCATATTTTTCTGGTGTTTATCCTGTCTGACACTTTAAAGTCTTTGTGCTGGCTTAGGGGCTGCTTTGCAAGGGGAAACAATAATATACGACAGGACACATACTTTATATGATTATTTATAATAGTCACCCAAAGAACGATATACAAAACAGTGCAGGAAATCTGTCCACAGACTATAGACCAAGAGTCCACCTGAGGGCCTGGATCCCACAGAAATGTCCTGCATGAGTCCAGCTGAGGACCTGGAGCTCATAACAATGCCTCCCACAAACCCAATTGGAGGCCCAGAACCCATAACAATATCTCATGCAGGCCTGTTTCACGGATCTGCGCTGAGAAGGTCCAAAGGTCAGTGGTGAAATCTAGGAAGTCTGTGCCAGTGGGATGAAGGATCTGTGCTAACAGGCTCAGGGATCTGCACTGGAGCCAGGAAGCAATGCTCAGAAGAACCAGAGCTCTCCCGAAAGGTACCACAGCCATCCTCGGCAACAGTGAGGTCCTGAGCTCCTCCGATGATCAAGATGAGCGAGTTCCCATCAGGGAAGCCCAGGCAGCAAGTCTCTCTAGGAAGCCAGCCGTGCACCATCTTCCCCTCCGGAGCCAGGAAGCTGTGCTCAACGTGAGGACCAGAGCTCTCCGAAAGTGAACCAAAGCCATTCTCAGTGCCAGTGAGGTCCCGAGCTCCTCAGAGGATGAAAACCGCCAAGTTCATCAGGAAATACAGCATGACGAGCTCCTTCAAAAACCAATAGCTTCTTACAGCTCTCACCAGCTCCAACAACCTTTCTCTACTTCCAACAGCCTCTCTCAGCTCCCAGCAGCCCCTTTAGTTCCCCAAAGCCTTTTTCTTCTTCTCCAGGTCTGCCTCTTATTCTGCTGGCAACAGTCCCCAGGTGGGCCTCCCATACCCAGCACCACACTTAACTCAGTTCAGCTGGGGGTTACAAGTTGACCACCAGTTATCAACCCACTACAGTCTTGATTCTATATCTTGATGTTTCTCATCATTTTTAGAAAATTCTCATTCAAAATTTCTTCAGATGTTATTTCTCTATTCTTTCCACTGTTTTATAGGAATATACTTACATGAATTTTAAAATTTTCATTGTAGCACAAATATCTTTTACTTCCTTTGATGTGTTCCTCATCCTTTAAAAAAAGAACTCTGTGTTAATCATATTTCAGAATGAAGTACTATAAATCTGACTGCACATGGCTGAAACTTGTCCCTAAAAGGGTCAAGTTCTAGGATGAGTTGGGGCTGTTCAAGGTACCTTATTGAAACTTCCAAAAGTCTATATATTTTCTTTTAGGTTGATCAGTTTCCTTGCTAGCAACTTAAGAGTTTCCTGTTACAGTTTGTAATTCTGAGTACCAGCATTCCACAATCAGAGGAGCAGAAGAGTTCACTGAGCTCATCATGTGTCATGCAAACTTTTGTTAAACTCTTGCATTTCCATTAGATTCCTAGCCCTGAACTGGTATCTGCCTGGTTGGACTTCCCCAAATAGTAGCTTTCCCCGTATTTGGCCAATGTGTAATAGACTCTCAGATGTGTTGTCTATATTGTGTCTAGTAGTATACTCATTTCTGAAATTCTAAGTTTTCTTCCTTTCTCACTCTTTTTAATGCTTGCTTGAAGCTTTCAGGCTCATATGCTAGGCACTCACTTGAAGGTTTAGATTTCAAATTTATCCATTCTGCTTAATCATATTCTTTGTATCTATTCACTTTTTAATCTCCCAAATTACCTCTCACTCTTGTTATTGTGAGTTCATAGACTAAATTCTTTCTTTTAAAACTATTTTTGGAGTGATTAGAAAAGAATTTCAGAAAAATAATTGTAAGTACCTCAAGCATTGATTTTTCTATTTTACTCTTCTTACCCTTTAACATTACTTCTGCTAACTTTGTATTAGTTTTGGTGATGATGAGCTAGCTCTGAGAAAAATGATGGATTTATTATGAATAAACTGAGAATATATTCTTCAATTTTAGATCAGTGTTCAGTTTATGTTAACACAGTGTAACACAGTGTTTATTGAATACACAACAAAACATAATCTTATTTTTTTCTTTAATTCTAAAATATGAAATTGTGAGAGGATAGCACATTCTAAAATAGTAATCACATAAACTTGTCATAGTATTTGCAAGCCAAATATTACATTGATTCTGTGGCCTCAACCTGCTGTTCACTCTATGCTATGTATCGAGAGTTAATCGAAGACCACAATATAGATGTGCGATTCCTACTTTCTTTTTTTACCAGATGAATCTGTGATAAAGTGGGCATCAACATCTTGTTTCAATTAAATAGCTAATAAATTATAGCATTGGGAGAAAAAAAAACTCAGGTATATTTATAATATTGTAAAAGTAATGATACTTTTCCTGAAATGTGCTTTCTTCTTGCCCAATATCTGCAATTTAAAAAAAAGTCTTCAGTAACCTAGAACTTTGAAAGAGCTTGTCCTGGAGAAGGGGAAGAACGAAGTGAGTCCCTTACTCCTGGCCAGTGCCACCTTCACGAGCTGTTGGACAGTCCTGCAACGTATTTAGATGAGTTTTCTTTTTAGTTCCCCCGCCCCCCACTTTGCACATATATGGCTTTTGGGTTGTTTGCCATTTGAGTAATAATAAATGAAAGATTAATTACAAGTGAAACCTTTTCTCCCAATAGAGAGAAGGAGAAAAATGTCATCAGGTGCGTTTGGCAGTTGGAAATGGTTTACGGAGTGATGTATGGATACAGTTTTTAGACAGATATGGAAATATTAAGATGTGTGAATTTTATGGAGCTACTGAAGGAAACATTTGTTTCATGAACCACACTGGGAAAATTGGATCAGTTGGGAGAACAAATTTCTTTTACAAAGTAAGTATAGTATTATATTTCTAAAAGAAATATTCTGAAGAAGTTGACTACCCATTTTTTAGACTTTATACTTGTAAAATATAATTATTACCACTTTTTTAAAAAAAGTCAAGATCTTTAAATAACATAGTGGGTGTCAGCAAACTATGGTGGTATAGGTTGTTCAAAGCTCAGTCATCTCCCATGCTTTTGCTCTATGGCATGTGATTCATGACACATACTTTTTTGTTCAGTTTTAAAATTTAATGATATGATGTATAAATGGTAAGCATAGGTCCTGATATATTTGACTCCATCTTTTAACTTTCTCTAAGTATTCTTATTCTACCATTGCAAATTATCTTCCATCATTCATATAATTTAAAACTAAGTATAGGCTTCTAATACTATTTTTCTTTAAAGTTTTTCTTTAAAACATCACTAATATCTTAAAAGTATCAAAAGAAATTACCTTTTTAGGATTAAAATCTTGACAGCTGATCAATAGAGAAGCAAAATACAGTGGAGAGATGTCCTTAACTAGCTTAGAGAAGATAACTGTCAAATAGATTTTATGCTAAGCATAATTTTTAAAAGAATAAAGGTGAAAATAAAGAGAAACACTTCAGAATTTATAAAGTAAAATTGACTTTAAAAACCTCAAAGGAAAATAAAAATATCTTCAATGATGTAGAATATTTAAATAATAAACAAATTACTTGAACTATTAAGCATGTAAAAATCTAGACATTTATTAACTATAGAATACCTATTTTTTTAAAGCACTTATGAAACACTGATGAAAATTACTGCACCAGTTAACACACTACAACAAACTCAAAGGATGGATTATATGGACTATATTCTTGGCAACAGTTTGATTGTTATAAATAATTTTTAAAAGGCAGCTAGTTTAATCTATATCTTTAGAAAAATAAGTTCTATATTCCCATGGGTCAACAAAAAACTCATAATAGAAACTGGAAGATATTAAGAGTAGAATTATAATGCAAATGTCACATTTAAAAACTGAACTTAGCTAAGAATAGCTGGAAATTAGTTGAATGGAGCTAAATGCCCATCTGTATGCTAATTTTTTAAAATACCAACTAAAATAAACTCAAAGAAAAATAGAAGAAAATAAGAAAGCAAAATTTAGTGAAATATAACATTTAGTGAGAAATGTCAAAAAATATAAATATATTTTTAAATAAAGAAATAGAATTTGGTGGATAGAAAGAAGGCATAACTAACAATATTAGGAGTGGAAAGGGAACATTACCATCGCCGCTGTAGAAACCAAGACAACAGTAAACGGATGTTTAGGATGAGTTCATATCAAGAAATTTGAAATTATTAGACAAATTTCTAGAAAACTACAACCTAACAGGACTAACTCAACAATTATCACACTAAATAAAATGAATTTATAATCCAAAACTTTCCCCTAGTCTCAGAAAACTTCCCTGTTGAATGTACCAAATATTCAAAGGACAAGTAATTCCAATCTTATAGAATGGAAAAGAAAATTTTCATTCATTTTCTGCCCCTAAACTGATACAAACAGTGCAAGAACAAATGTTGATGGACTGAGGCATTTATAAGTGTCCATGGATAAGAAAGGCCTTCATTAGTCAATTTTGCCCTCTGTGTACTTCCTCCTTGGCCAAACCCATGTCTCTGAGGATTTTAGAGCACTCGCTCAAGCCTTTTTTGGAATTGTGTTTGAAAAACCTCTTAAGAATTTCATGGTGCAGGTTTTGGCATATTTGCAGCTTTTGGATCTGTAGCTTCTTTAGTTTTATAGAATAAGATTTCTGTATAATAAACTCCCTACATCAAAGAACACCTGGCTGAAACAACAATGAAAACATGTATTTGATTTTCTTGTCAGAGGTAATTTTTTGATGTCTGGAAGTAATTGATGCTCATGTGCCTTCAGACTGCAGTGGCCCCCCTTTCAGTCACACTGCCTACTGAAATCTGGAGCGCATCACACTAGCTCTTTAAACTTAGCGTGATGCGCTCCAGATTTCAAATCACTTTTATAACAGATTCTCTTTGGATGGTAAAGGTCTAGTCTGTAGATCAGAAATGCGCTTGTATTCTGAACAAAGGTATTGTTGGAAAGTAAATGTTAATGTTCCGAAGTTTTGCACTTAATTTTCTCAATTCGTCACACTATTTCCATTACAAATTTGTGAGTGAAGTCATTCCAAAGTAACATCTAATGAGTAAGATGAAAGTGATTTCATTTTTACTATGACTTCAGTTTTTTTTTTTTTAATTTTCTGATGCTTTCAGTTCCTCCAGAGTGTAATAATGACAATTAATGTAAAACATCATTATTTACTCCAATTTTTTCACAAAACTTTTAATTTCCCACTAATTTTACTTTAGCTTTTTTTTTTTCCAGTTTATAAAAGAAAAAAAAGTTGTGCCTAATATAAGATAGATTCTAGTCTGTCTTTCAGGTTTTTTTTATATGTTATTTTGTTAAATAACAGCTAATAAAAAAAATTTGGTACAATAATTGCTTCTCAATTAAGTAGGGGGATTTGACAAGTATGTCTCTCATGAATTTAAATCTAATAGAGGGTTATGCTTACTACCGAGAGGGAAATCAACCTCCTAACAGAGAGAATATTATAAGAGAAGGAGAAAGATTAGTAAGCAACATAGAGTTCTTATAATTCAAGTACCTTTCTTTTGTGTTGTACCTACTGTAAAAGCATAAAAACCAAAGGCTGTTGCCCATACATAACCTTAAGGCAAACAATATAAAAACTCTGCTGACAACATATTTGAAAGACAAATCCAAGTAAAATCTGTGAACAGTCTTTTATACCTTGGAAGGAACAAAACTGAAATTTATACATGATATAAACCTTGAAAAAAAAATAAAATAAATGTAATAAAAACTAGCTGAAAATATGAATAAATATTAAAATAATAAATACTTAAATATAACCAAGAAATACTGAGGAAAACCTTTCTATGTAGGCTCAAAATATTACAGTACTCTCTTTAAAAATAAGGGCCTCAAAGAGACGTTTCAAGAATAGGCATAAATCAATAAAAGGACCTAAAAGTAAATATCCTTAGCTCAAAAAAAGAAATAAACACCACACGAAAAGACATAAAATTAAAATGAACCATAAACATTTTTTGGGAGCAAAATGGATCAGATTAACAACAAATTATGAAACCAAAATTAAGAGAGAAAAGCAACAAACAATAAAAAGCAAAAATACAGTTTGAAAAATACAGACAGTGATTTAACATGCATAATTGAATTTCTGTAGAAAGAACAGATTAAAGAGAAGAATAATTATTTTAATTATGATGGAAAAAATCCTTAAATCAAAGACTTGAGCCATTAGCAAAAAACACACTATGTTCCAGGGAAAGAAATATGGCACAGAATGATCATCAGAAAAGTATATTCTGAGGAAAGTATTCAATAGAAATTAAGGAAGTGTAAGGAGACGCTGAGGTAGAGAATATAGAATATGTAGCATGGTTGAAGGTGAAGAGGATATCAGGCCTTTCACAAAACAAAAACAGAATGCTCAGTGAAAGACAAAAAGTAAGGAAATGTTTTCATCTAAGGATTTTGGTTTTGGCTAAGGTGTCCTGGAAGGAAAAAAGCAATGGAGGTTTTTTCAAAATGTTAAGGAATCAGAGACTATAATACTCATGGATTTATAAAAATGCAATACTTCTCCATAAAATTCACTGAATGAAAAACAGTAGTCATTCAAAGATAAAACAGAACTTAGAAAGAAGGAACAGCCTTCAATGGAAAGGTTTGATGGTGAGCATTGAATCCATTTAAATGCAGAAAACTGAACAGCGCTGAGTTATGTACACAAATGGCATGGGAAAATGACAGTATAAACATAGTTATCATGCTAACAAAAGCAGCGGTGAGGTGAGTGGAGAGTGAGAATTGTAAGTGGTAATTATCTCTTCTTTCACACTGGTAAACCTATAGACACAATATCAAGATAAAAACAGATTAGTGAAAAGGCTAATTTTCTTAACATTTTCATAGTCCTCTTTATTGTCTTAAAAGTAGTCATTTTTTAAGGATGAAAAAAATCAACTGCAAAGTTAGGGAGCATTCACACAAGATCACTGTCATCTGACATCGGTGCCCATTTTTGGAGTCCCTTAAGCTATCCTTAGATTCCATGATTCACCAGAAGGCTTCATGAAACCCAATGAAATCCATGATAGTCAGAGTTACTGCTTATCACAGCTAAAGGTTGCAGATTCAAATCAGTCAAGGAGGAAATGTATAAGGCCGATCCAGAAGGGTATGAGGAACACAGTTTTCGGATGTGCTCTCCTGTGGCATTAGAACAGCATTGCTTTCCTGGCACTGATATGTGACAGTGAATACATACAGAGTGGTGCAAGTAGGGAAAATTACTAGAACCTTGGCCTCAAGAGGATTTTAGGGGGTTCGATCATACAAATCTCTTTACCTGGCCCCTGGATCCCTTCCATCTCCCGTATCTCAGAGGTGAAGCTGGATGATCCAAAGCCCCGACCCTCTGTCACTTTGGTGGTTTGGCTCAGCGACTCCATATAAATGATATTGTTGCTATGTGGTTGGTCCAAGTCTGTTAGACAAACACATTCTTAGAACAGCACTGCAAAGACTGAGGTATTACCTCCCAAACTGAGGGTGGAGGCCAGACCTCTCTCTGAGCAAGGTTGAGTCTTAGCTTTGCCCTCTCCTTGACTTTGATGAGTTATATTTCTTTGTGTGTGTGTGTATCTATATCTATTTTTATATATCTACATATCTATGAATATATATGAATATGCAAATGCACACAAATATGTAGTGAAACTCCCGTGGCTGTTATATACAGCCATGTAATTATGGATTGTACAGTCTGGGGGAAACCATTTAGTAGGACTGTTATCAGTGGGATCCCTGTAGCTGTGCTCTGACTATGTACACATACACATATACATGTTTTTCTAGGCAGTTTGAAGTATGACAGCTCTTTTCATTACTGTTATAATGCTGCTATTATTGTAAGCTCATGGGAACATCTTGAGGGCAAAAAGACATAAACAGATACTTGTATCTGAACACTAATGTGTGGATCTAAGGTACTTCCAGATAATGCTACAATATAATTTATTTCATCTGAGATGTAGTTACCCAGTTTTTGGCTATCAAATTCCCTGTGTTTGACTAAAGTGATTTGGTGGATTGTGAGTCTCACTCATGCACATCAATACCACATTAATCTAAAAGAAATAACACTAAAGCTGATATCACATGTCTGGGAGCATTTTCTAAGACCTAAAGCATGTTAAAACAGGAGAGAAAAGAATGAATAATGAACAGGATTCAGTGTTTATTTGACCAGGGTGATAAAGGCAGTTCCAGAACTTCTTGAATCTTTCTTGCAATCAGCCATTAAGCAAGTGGCCAATATCCTGTTATCCCAAATACAAAGGCAACAAAATGAGCATTTTCATCTTAATAAGAATGTTTATGTCCTTTTCCATTGGTCCTAATCTTAAAATAGGATAACATTAATTTTGCCCCATACAGTGTTTTCATGCATAAATTCAACTCAGCTCTTGTGCTCTTAATTGACGTATAGGAAGTACTCAATGGATACTAGTGGCCCTCATTTGTATTTTAATCCACATAATGAATCATGAGAATTACATGTTGATTTTATCAAGATTAATGATCAGAAATGTTTCTGTTTAATTGTAGATATTAAGTAATATTAATACACTTACCTCACTAACCTTACTCCTCTTTCCCTAGTCGTTCTCTCCTTCTGCCTCCCATTTTTCTCTCTTGTTTTCCTTTATAATTTTTGCTCATTTTTATATTTCCATGTTAGTTTAATATTTCTAATCCTAGAACATTTCTAATTTCTAATAAGATTACTTATTTAATTTTCAGTCAAACCTCAATTTTCTTATATATAAAATGAGATGGTTGAACTAAACCAATCTGCAGTTCTCTCCCATGATCAGAATTTAGTGGACCTATGTGTCAGCATAGCTTGATAATCAGGACATTACAGAGCCAAAGTAGCTGGAAATACATGGACATAGGTAGGGGGACATTCAATTAGCTCAGATCCCAATGTCATGAGGATGGACTAACAATTTTGTCATCTCACTCTGCAATAGCTTACAGAAGTACTGAACGTTAGTTTAGGAACATTAAAATGAAAGCCCTAGGTGAAAAGGCTCAAGTGATTATCAAGTAACTGTACTGTTTAGTCATTTGCTGCCTTTTCTAGAAACTGTAGGGAAAAAGTAAACAAAATCCTGGCACTCTCCTAGTGTGTATTACTTCTATTCAATATTTCCTTTTCAAAAGACAATATGAATGACCCACAGTTAGAAGAGTATGTAAACAAATGCTTGGATTGCATCTGTACCTTGATATAATTCATTCATGATTAAAATTTAGTTGTGCTTTTATAAGATAAAGTAGAGCGTAAAAGACATAAAACAAATGCCAATAAAAGAGTACTATGCACTAGCACCTTCAGTTGTGAGTTTCAAGTATTAAATTTTTTATAGCTTGTTTTAATAAAGCCATATTCTAGTTACTTACTTCAACTGAGCCAGTAGATGTCATGGCTCAAATAACTAAATGCTTGTTTTTTGCTTAATTTTGGTTTTGCAGCTTTTTTTCAGTTTTGACTTGATAAAGTATGATTTTCAGAACGATGAACCAATGAGAAATGAACAAAACTGGTGTAGCCGTGTAAAAAAGGGTAAGACTCATATTTGAAGATAATCTCTTAAGCAAGGCTTCCAAATGTGTATATCATTATTACTGAAGTTTAGGAAAGAATGAATTATTAGGCTTAATGTGTAATTTGACATATTTGGAATTTAATGCAGGCAGGATAATTTAATTATTTATTAGACATTACTAACCCCAACAGGGTCTCTTGGAGTGTACATTGTTAAAATTAAAAAGTATTTATTATTTAGCTATTTTGCTTAATCTACCACTTCCGGTTTATAACAGCGCCATGTGTCTAGTGTTCCATTTTATGGAACAGTACGGGTATAGTGGAAAGTCAGGCCAACATGGATTTAACTTTGGGCCTTTATACTTAGAAACTGCAAGCATGAGAAGGTTAGCCAGCCAGAGTCTCATTGTTTCATGCGTAAATTAGAATAACAACAGTTATTACATGTGGCTTTCAATGACAAGTAAAGGAGATGTGTGTAAACCCCTGTTCTCTTTTTCTCCTCTTTTACCTATCACTTCTTTTCACAAGATAGATCTACAAGTTGAGCCTACAAATTTTAAGGAAGGAAAGCACCCAAATCAACAACATATAATCACATTAAAAATAAAATGAAATGTAGACTTGTGCACATAGTATTATTTAGCAATTCAGTCTCCATAGAGTAGGTCAAGCTTGTTATTTACTGCCTTATATTGCCTCAAACTGCACATCAGCGCCGACTTCCTCAGCGTTTACTTCAGATGTGGAGAGATAGATTGCAAAACTGTTGTTAATGTTCTGGTAGCTGACAGACTGAAAAATATGAGCTTTTTTATTAAAAAATTTTCCAAATTCTGACTTTCAAGCCTAAAGGCATCAATCAAATATGTTCCTCTAACACACCTCTGCAGACACTTTCCAACAAAAAGGCAATTTCTAATGAGGTTGCAAAGAACTTAAACACAAGATTTTTTTTTTTTTTATAAAAACACAAGTGTTTATTTCAATTACAGTATCTGACACTGGGATTTGAATTTCAGAACTATGTATATGGTCTTAGCGTTTCTTAAAATGCTTTTTGATCCCCAAATGTCTGCTTTATTCTTTAGAATTCTCATTACGAATTACTCAAATTTTTCCATTAAGGCATTGTGTCACATTTTGGGTCAATTATGCCCAAACAAGAATAACATGAATACACTCTGACTTATTAAGTATTTCTAATCATTAGTTCATCAGAGAAGAAGCTCACTTATGTCCTGAAAAAGAAAAGCAAAGAACATTAAGTCTTTTGAAGAATTATAATTGGCTTAGCAAGGATTCCCAGCATAGCATCCCAGACTAATAAACCATTTCTGAACGTTTCTAATAGCATAGCAATAGTATCAGAGAGTATTTTCAGGAACTTTGCCACAAACTCATGGACACTTGTATCTGAGTTCTAGGGTTGCTTGTTTCTCTGATTTTGGCAACTTACTTCACTCCTCTGGAAATGAATTCCTTCCTTATGAAGTAGGACTTATAATATAAATTTCAAATGATTTCTAAAAAGAATAAGTAAAATGGAAGTTGCAAGGAGGTCATGGTAGGTGTCCAAAAATATTCTCCCATCCTTTCATTAGAATTATTATTAGACTTGGTATTTATATTGCTGTCAATTTTTCTGCATTAAAATATACATAATCAAAAACAAAACTAGCCATCAACTCAGAAAGTTAAAGAAATTTATTACACCTTTGCTTTACTTTCAGTTCACTTTCTGTTGGTTTTTCCAAATTTGTATTCTTGTACAGGTGTCTGCACTGAGTGTAGGTGAGGTCAAATAGGATAGAAGTAAATTCAAAGGAAAGTGAGATGAGCAATAGTGATTGGGTTAGATAGATTTAAATTAGATACATGTAACAGTAGTTTTAATCAGATAACTGCAAAAATGTCCTTTTCCCTTGCAGGAGAACCTGGACTTCTCATTTCTCGTGTGAATAAAAAGAATCCCTTCTTTGGCTATGCTGGGTCTTACAGGCACACAAAAAACAAATTACTTTTTGATGTTTTTAAGAAGGGAGATGTTTACTTTAACACAGGAGACTTAATGGTCCAAGATCAGGAGAATTTCCTTTATTTTTGGGACCGTATTGGAGACACATTCAGGTATAAACTCAATCAAGTCGGACTCGATCCGTAATTGCTGTGCTTTTCTGGAAGTACTGGAGACCACATGTTCTTTAGCTGACAGTGAAAACAGATCCCTTTTACTTTACAATGCCTCCCCACTTAAATTTTATTGACCATCCGTTTCTAGACTGAGCCACAAGTTAAATTTTGATGTAATATTCTGTAATAATTTTAATTTTAGGAGGTTAGTGCACATCACTAAGCTCCTTTTTTTTAGAATATAAAACTACCAGACAAATATGAAGTCTCAATAGTAATGTTAAACAGAAAACCAGTTTGGTCAAGATGGTCTAATTCTCCTTATAGAGAAAGTACAGAACAAGAAAATTTTTTGTGTCTTGTATTTCTTTTTTTAATCTCCTAAAATTATTTTAGGTCTATAAAATTATTTTGCTTTAGTAGTTGATAGCTATAAAATAGTAAAAGCTTAGGATAAACATTTAACAAATACTTGAATTAATAAATTATACTTCCTCCTTCCTTGCCTTTTGTACTGTTAAAAGCTCACTTTTTATGAAATTACTTGAGTTAACATAAAATGTTCCTATGAATTAAGGGAGCTAAAGGGACTAATACCTATAAATTAAAGTCTGTATACCGAAAGGCAGCTCTAGGCTGGGCACAGGGGTCTGCACCTACAGCCCTACCTTCTTGGGAGACTGAAGCGGGAGGATGACTTGAGCCCAGGAGTTCATAATATAACTGTCTCAGAAACAGAAAAAAAAAAAAAAAGAAACGTGAAAGACAACTATAGCTTTCCTTTTAATTCCTCATATCCTCATCACCCAACATGAGGAAGTTTGTGTACTTAATTATTGTTATTTTACAAAATAAAGATTTTTTGTAATAGTAATCCTTATCATTATTTCTTTATTGGGGGATTGCTGTATTATAAAACATCTACAGGAAGAATTTTTACTATTAAGGCTTAGGGAAAGTAATTTTCATCAAAATCTAGATGCTGATTTTGTTGAGTTAACCAACAAAGTGCTCCCTTAGAAATGATTTTTATTTTGAAAACTAGTTATTTTTGATCATTAGGTGCTTGCATAGAGCCAGATGCAAGGCATTAAAGCTAGAAGTGTGTGCCTAATGCTTCAAATACAGGTATACTAACTGGAGTTTGTTTTCCATGTAGGTGGAAAGGAGAAAATGTTGCCACCACAGAGGTTGCGGACGTTATTGGAATGTTGGATTTCATACAGGAAACAAATGTCTATGGTGTGGCTGTGTCAGGTATGAATAGATTTCTGAATCTGAAGAATTTTCAGAATAGAATGTACAAGTGTACTTTAGTTTTAAAGTTATTTTACAACTCAGTTTTTTAATTTTTAGATATCCAAAGAAATATCTTAGTCATGGCAAGTGACGCCCTTCACTAAGCTACTCCATGGGCACATTAGGAGAAATGTACTAGATGAATTTTAATACCACATGTAATTTTAACCAGAGCTTGAACATTTTGTTGAGTGACTCAGTGTCTGAGAATAGTTGAAGCTTTTCAAAGGTCTGCTATTTTTTTGTGTGTGATGACTATGGCTTGTACATACCATTAAAAAAGAATGTTCTAATTTAAATGTTTAATAACATTAACTTGTTCTTTTAAAAACTTGTCTTATTAAAAATTATTTAAAATTTGTGTGCCTTCATGTAATTATAATATATCACAACATATTACATGTAACATATATATGTATTTCATGATGGTGAGAATGGTACTCAGAGTGACCAATTTGAAGTCACAGGAAAACTGTGCTTTTTCACTATCCTTTTTTGATTTTAACAACTGAAAAAATTTTCCAGCTAATGCTTATAAAGGTGTGAGAAACCAGGTGAGGAGAGTTCAAATAGAACAGAGGAAGGGGATGTTTGTTTAATAAACAAAAAAGGGTCCAGCATGATCTGATCTCCCCTAAGATCTGGCATGATAAGCAGTGAGCAATATATGGAATTAAGGAAATACAAGTTCTTAGTTTTAATTTAAAATATGTCTTTTTTTGCATCAGTGTATAAAATGGCATTCTTGTTGGAATATATTGTCTTTAAATACGTGTTTTCTTTCTTAGTAATTTTGCTAGTGGTGATAGGGTACAAACTATTGGTAGCTTCAGTTTTCCATTCTATGTATTTTATTTCTGTACCACAGACAGTTTGGGACAGATTATGGATTCCTGTAGTCTTAAATTATTACTAGGGAAGGGCACACACTGATTTATACCACTGTTACATTGTTACCACTCCAATAGTTTTAATGCCTCTGTAGCAATAAATGTGTTAACAAGACTTTAATTCACCTGGTATTTAAATTTGATTCTATATTAAACTTTCTTTTAGGTTATGAAGGAAAAGCAGGAATGGCTTCCATTATTTTAAAACCAAATAAGTCTTTAAACTTAGAAGAGTTTTATGAACAAGTTGTAACATCTCTACCATCTTATGCCTGTCCACGATTTTTAAGAATTCAGGTAATTCTGCAGTCTAATTCAAACCTAAGATCAGAAACCGGGGGTGGCTTAACAACAACATAATATTACATCTGTCTTGGTTACTTTTTTCTGGTTGCTGGGACAAAATATCTGACGACCAAAATTAAGGAAGGAAAGGTTTATTTTGCTTACAGTTTGTGGAGGTTTTAATCCGTACTAGGCATGATTATAAGGCAGAGTGGCATGTGGCAGAGGGCTGCATCTCAGGCGGCAGCCACAGCTAAGCAGCTACCAGGACACACACACCAGGGCGGAATAGGGGAGGAATCTCCCCAAGCAGCTTCCTGCTCTCCCTTACATATGCAAACTATCCACCCCAGGGTGGGTGTAGCTCTCACACCCATATTCAAACTCTAATAGCCTGCCCCAGGGCTGCAGGAGGCTTTGGGGGGACACACAGATATAAACCATAACATTCCACCCCTGGCCCCCCAAAGACTCATGCCCATCGCTTCATACAAACAGCATTTAGTCCATCTGCAAGAGTTGCCAAAGTCCTAACAGTTTCAGCATTGCTGACGAGTCCAAGTCCCAAGTCTCCTCCGAGATGTAGGGCAAACTCTTAGCTGTGGACCCCCCGTACAAATGAAAAGTTAAACACTTTTAACATTTAATGGCACAAAATAAGCAGTACCATTTCAAAAGGTACAAACAGGGGGACACAGAGCATTGGGACCAAAGCAAGTCTAAAATCTCGCAGGGCTAACGTTATGTCCTGTAATTTTACATGCGGCATCTGAAGAAACTTGTGGCACATTGTGAGCTTCAAAGGGCTTGCATGAGCCTACCCCTGTGGCATTTTTGGTGGTTACAGCTTTCATGGCTTCTCTCTTAGGCCTGCTTTGCTCTCTCCGGGCAGTTTTCCTCAGACAATCCACGGTCCTGGCTTTTTTAAACTTTTGAGGTCTCTAGGGCACCTTTTGCTTTACACTCACAGCCTCACACACTGCCCTCTCAGGGGCACACTGCCTGGCCACCCAGGCCTTCTGAAATCTGGGTGGAAACCTCTTAAACCTCAGAACTCCTGCATTTTTTATGCACTTAAAGCCAGGGCCACGTGGATGATGCTAAGGTCTGCTGCCACCTGGAGCAGTAGCCAAGCTTTTTTTTCTCTTGGCCACAGGGGTCGAGTGCCTGGATTGCTGGGCACTCTGAATCTAATTTTGAAAAGCAGATTTTTTTATGCTGCCGCCATTTTGGAACCTGGGGCAGCCGCCGCCGCCATTCTGGAACAGGGCACTCAGCAGCTTTTTCCTCAAGGCAATGTCTTTCACCTTTGCAGTTTTGAGGCTGTAAAGGGTGGAGACTTGCTATTTCTTGTGATGCCCTTAGGCCATCTTTTTTATTTTTTTGGTTTTTTTTTAGCAATGGAGATCTCTTTAGCTCCACCTTTGCAGTCTAAAGCATTACTGGAGCTTTCTTTTTGGCCAGACTCACAACATTTTAAATCATCCTGCTGGGCTCTGTGTTTTTGATTTTCAATATAAATCTGGCTAAAAGCCCCCAACAATAGCCATGTCACTACCCCAACATTTGACTGCCTTGAAATTTTGTTTGCCAGATTAATCAGTCAGCTGCCGCCCTTAATCTCAGTCTTAGGCAAAGTCTCTGGACACGAGCAAAATGCAGACAAACTTTCTGCCAAGCCATAACACACATCGTCTGCAGTCCAACAACCAATGCAGTCCTTCTTGCCAGCAGAAACCTCCCAAACCTGGTCTTTATCGGCAAGATTTCTATCAGCTTTCTGGTCTTCTGAGCTCTGACCAGAATCTCCCAAACAGAACAGCCGAAGGCATTCTACCACTTCTCTTTTGGGTGAAATCTCCAAACCTTTCCAAACACTCCCCACAAGCCATTTTCAAAGGCCCTTGAACCATATGGTTAGATATAGTCACAGCAACGACCCCACTCCTGGTACCAAATTCTGTCTTGGTTACTTTTTTCTCGTTGCTGGGACAAATATCTGATGACCAAAATTAAGGAAGGAAAGGTTTATTTCGCTTACAGTTTGTGGAGGTTTTAGTCCATACTAGGCATGATTATAAGGCAGAGTGGCATGTGGCAGGGGGCTGCATCTCAGGGCGGCAGCACACAGCTAAGCAGCTACCAGGACACACACACCAGGGAAAAATAGGGGAGAAATCTCCCCAAGCAGCTTCCTCCTCTCCCTTACATATGCAAACTGTCCACCCCAGGGTGGGTATAGCTCTCACACCCATATTCAAACTCTAATAGCCTGCCCCAGGGCCGCAGGACGCTTTGGGGGGACACACAGATATAAACCATAACAACATCCTTTAGATCAAGTGCTGCCTCTGTTCACAGACTTAATTCTTTCCATGGTTCTGGTCACATACTGAACTGGATGAGAACGGAATTAAATTCAATGGTGAGGTTCATTGTTGACCTTATGAGGAAATTTGATTCAGTTTTTGTCCAATTCAGTTTGTGACCAGAACTGTGGGTAAGTTTGTGAACTGAGGTAACATTGTGTACTATACTAAATTAGAAAATTTCAGGGATAATGACAAACATAGGGACACAGAGTTTAGATTTCATGCTATTTGAAGCCTAAGCAAGAAATATTAGAATGTTTGTCTTTGTCTTTATTTTAGAATCATATTTTGTCCTCCTCCGCCCCTCCCTCTCCTTCCCTACCTCTTCTTTCTCCCTCTCCCCTCCCTCATCCTCCTCTTCTCCTTCTTCTTCTCCTTCCTCTTCTTTGTGCTCCTTCTTCTTCCTCTTCCCCTTCTCCTCCTTCCCCTTTTCCTCCTTCCCCTCCTCCTCCTCCTCCTCCTCCTCCTTCTCCTTCTCCTTCCTCTGTTAGCATCTGAAAGCAAAATTGTGGTTCCAGTAAAGTTGAAAAGCCAAAGTCACATTTTGTACCAATGCTGTGATAATGTTTGGGTGCCTTGTTTGTAAAGAATTAGGTTCCAGCCAGCAGACATCAAAATGTCTGTAAAATGTGTGCAGGACTTAAAGCCCATTGGCTTTAAGTAATCCTGTTTTTAAGTTTTACTCTTCCATCCAATCTTCTCCCCTTTGTATTCTGGAGAATTCTGAGCTCATTTTTGTGTGGAGGAAGGGTCTCTCTTGTTAGGTGTATTATTCAGTAAAAAGAGAAATTATTTACTCAGCTTGGAAACTTTGCTTACCCATTTAATTAGTAATTAGTTAACTTCATAACATGCCTGTGAAGTACTAATAGCAAACAAATATGAAGCAAAGTAATATATTTCAAATATATTTATTTGAAATTTTTTATTGAGAAAGTTGTGAATTAACATCTAGTTTTAAGAATTAATGCAGAAAGATCTTACATCTTTTACCCACTTTACCCCAAAGCACATCTATCACAACCAGGATGTCAACATAATCCACCTATCCCATCAAAAAATGTCTCTAATTCTGTTTGCATACTTATATGTTCTCTGTGTATGTATATTTTCTATGCACTCATTGCCTGTGTAGCTTCATGCAACCATGACTACAGTAAAGATAGAAACAATTTCTCACCTAAAGGTGTTCTTCATGCTGTCATTTTATAACCATTCCCCAATCCTTTCTGTAATTTTCCATCCCACCTCATAAGTAACATTTTGATCTCACAGAAAGTGAGTGGAACAAGTAATATTTTAAGCATTTTTTTTTGTCCAAGGAACTTAAAATTCACTTGAATTAAAGAGAAAATATATTTGAACAAAGGACTGGTCTAGCAGACTTAGAGCATCCTTGGACAAGTTTGGAAAATATTTTAAAGTCACTAAATATCTAAAAAGGCCACAATTTTATTTATTACAATATTTACTGTCATTAGTACAAAACTTCACACTTTTAAAGCCCGATAATCAACAGTCAAAAAGTTATTTAATTAATTATAATAATAAAGTGTCTGATAAAAGTAATATGAAACTTAAAATTACTATTGGCAAAATGGGTAAAACAACTCTTTATATAAAAATTCATCAAAAAAAGTTAAGAGGACTTTTATGAATAAGTTACAAAAATTTTAAAATGTGGTAATACTCAGTACAGCTGGGGTCCTTTCGTTCTGAAACTGATAAAACAGATTGTCATAACCTCTCTAGAAAACAATTTGGTAACATATGGTCAGACACTTAAGAATTGAAACACCTTTTGATTTAGTAATTTAACTTCCATCAGTTTATGCTTAGCAGATAGCAAACTATGTACAAATGTTACATATGAAATTGCTTTTCTTGAAGTTACTTTTCAAAGCATTATTTATAGTAGCAAATTTTTAAATTTTTCTCTATTAGTTGAAGAATGAAGACAAGGTTAATTAAAATGTGATGACTACATGAGAACTTATAAAGCCATTTTAAATTTATTTTTAACTGACAGATTAAAAACATAAAATTGTATGTATTAACAGAGCACCATGTCATGTTTTCTATATATTCTAAAGTGGTTAAGCCAGGCCATTATATCTATATCCTCAGACATTTATCATTTCTTTATGGTGCAAACTTTCTAATGCCTTTCTTCTGTTTTTGAAATGTACTTTTGAAAATTACCTTGTTGCTATCTCTAGACTTTTTGTTCCTGTCTAACATTAATTTAGTACCCAGTGACCAATCTTTCCCCATCCCTTCCTTCCTCCTTCTCTCTTCCCAGCCCCTGATAACCACCATTCTTCTCCTAACTTTTATGAGATCAACTCTTCTAGATTCCACATATAGATGACATCATGTGGTACCTGTCGTTATGCATTTGGCTTTTTCACTTAACATAATGATCTTTGGTGAAGTCCATGTTGTTGCAAAGGATAGGATTTAATTCCTTTTATGGCTGAATGGTTTCCATGGTATATATGTACCACATTTTTTTAAATCCATTCATCCTCTGATAGACACATAGGTTGTTTCCATGTCTTTGCTACTGTCAATAGAACTGCAATAAATATGGGAGTGTAGCTATCTCTCAGACACTGATTTTGTTTCCTTTAGATATCTATCCAGCAATGAGACTGCTGGATCATATGATAATTCTATCTTTAATTTTTTGAGAAACCTCCATAGTCTTTTCCAGAGTGGATGTACTAATTTATATTCCCACCAACAGTATACAAGAGTTGCCTTTTTTCTTCACCAGAGCTTATCTTTAGTCTTTTGATAATAGCCATTCTTACTGGGGTGAGATAATAGCTTATCCTGATTTTGATTTGCATTTCCCTGAGCATTAGTGACTTGAACATTTTTTCATATATCTGTTGGCCATTTTTATGTGTTCTCTTAAGAAATGAGTACTTAAGTATATTGCTTATTTTAAGATCAGGTTATTATTATTCCCATTCTGCTAGTGAGTTTTTAGCATTCCTTGTATATTCTGGGTATTAGTCTCTATTCAGATATATGCTACAAATATTTTCTGTCTTTCTGGGGTTTGTTTCTTGACTCTATTATTTCTGTTGCTGTACAGAAGCTTTATAGTTTGAAATAGTCCCATTTGTCTATTTTTGCTTTTGCATCCTATGCTTATGGGGTTTTGTCAAAATAAATCTTTGTCTACTCCAATGTACTGAAATGTATTTTTAAAGTGCTCATTTGAATAAAATGATGTGACCAATGTCTTTTAAAAGAGAACATGAAACTGTATATTTATTGTGAGCTTGTAATTTTCTGAAATACAGAAACATATATGCCTACACAGATTATCTAATTCTGTGATGAAAATCTTACCTTGTAGAACAGGGAGAGGGAAAGGAGGAGGCTCAAAGCATGGTTGACTCTTAAGTTGTTCAGAGGTGTGAATAAAATGCCCCAAATTCTCATTCTCATAGAATGTTATATGAGTTATACAGATCTCTGAAAAGTCACCTAATTTAAACAAGGTTGTTTTTCCATATCTGGAACTCTCCCCAAAAGATACAATCTCCTCTCCTTTAAAGCCCTAAAGCAGATATTCTTAAACTTTCTGGATTCACTGGAGTTTTAGTGTCTCAGTAATTTGTGTTATGGCACTCTTGAGTCAAAATAGTCAAGCATTTATTTATTTATTCACTATTTAGGTCAAAATAATAAGTATTTCGGTCTAACAAATTAGCAGCCATTTGAAAAAGACATTACATATAAATTTAGAAAAGTTTCACTTTTCTTTCAAATAACCATAATTACTTATTGAAAAGATGTCAGTTAGGCACTGCACAGCTCTTCAGACTTTTAAGTTAGATTGAACTGGATAGACAAAGACTAATTTCATGGTCCACTTTGATTTCTGACAAGCTTGATTTGTATCACAGAAACTACTGAAAGTCCCTTTGCAAAATTATGATAAAATTGAAAAGAATATGTCCCAAATTAGTATTGAAACTTTGAACTACCTCGAGCTACTATTTTATATGTGCTGACCATGATATGTTACTGGCTTCCCCTTGAAAATTTAATACCTGTAGGTCCCCTGAAAATTCACTAAGGAGCCTCAAGCTAGCGGACCCAGGCTTTAAAATGCTCTGTATGTCCTCTGGTTCCAAGATACTCTGCCCTGTGCAATAGGTTTGTGTGCACTATTTAAAAAAATTGGTGTCTTTCATAGCTTTTAACTCCTAACTTTTAATAGTATTTTCTGAACATAACTTTGTTTGGGCATTGAATTGAGAATATAGGCTATGTGTTTTAAACCTCAGTTTATTGATTATATTCATAATTGTATATGAAGATTATTAAATACTTGTACGAAGATTATTAAATATAAAATAGTATACTTAAATATTATAGTCTACATTGCTAAATATTTTATTTACATATAATGAAAATGTTAGATAGTAATAAATTATTCCACTCATCTTGGTAATTGTTTTATAGGAAAAAATGGAAACAACGGGAACATTCAAACTGCAGAAGTTTCAGTTGGTAGAAGAAGGATTTAATCCACTGAAGATTTCCGATCCACTTTACATTATAGATAACTTGAAAAAATCGTATGTGCCATTGACCCAAGAACTTTATGAGCAGATAATTTTAGGGGAGGTAAAACTTTAAGTTTTTTGTAGATACAGTATTTCCGTTTGTATTCCTAAGAAGGATGAGAGGACAGGACAGGTGCTACTTGACTCACAGTTGGGCAGTCTCCCAGTAAAGCCATCATCCATTGAAAATATCAAGACAAAAGTGCATTTATGCAATTAATACACCAAACATCACAATTAGCAGAACGGCACACTGTGACATCAGCTCTCTGCCCTTGTGACTGTGCGTCGGGCTCAGAGCTGTGGCTCCGCATCTCAAGAGAGGAGTTTGCTATATGTCAACAGTTTGGGAAGAGGCCGCAATTCAAAGTGCAATTTTTAACCAAGTGCATAACAGAAAGTAAAAGCAAAAACTCGTAACTATAAGCACCATAAACTGAGAATCATATATGTGATTCCTTATTATGAAATTGTGGGATGGAGCTCACTGTAACCTTTGCTATATTTCTTTAATATGCAAGATAATTTCTTTAGTAAGATTTTAGTAATCTTTAGTAAGATTTGCTTTAATGGATACAAACTTTAGTTGATTGTCCTTTTCCCCTATTTTCAGATTCAGGGCATAACTAAATATTTGTCTTAACATTAACCATTCAGTAATAAATATATAGTTAAATTTGTTTAGATAATCATTCAGGAAATATTTTCTAACATGTAAAGTTTCTAGTTTTTAATACATATTTACATTTTACTCAAATATTTTGTCATATTTTATCCTGTAACCCAATAAAATCATTATTCTATGTTGTGAGCCATTGTTTTTGTGTTAATTGTAATTGGCAGTCAAAGGAAACTGACTAAATGCATATACTCATGTCTCCTTTATTCTAAACTCACATTAAGGTCATAGCAGACCTGTAAAAATCAGATACAATAAAGCAGGAAAGCTAGTAAACCAAAAGCACTTAGGAATTTCTTGAAGCTATGTAAATAGGATCAAATGTATGATAAAACCAACAGAGTTACAGGAACCATTAATAGCACAGGGGCAAAACTGGAACCCTGGAAAAATCACCAAGATCAAATACAGAAAGGGCTGCAGTTCTAACAGGTATGTGAATAGCTGGATGAAAAATTTATTACGAATGCACTGTAATGAACACAATCGTACTTATCTCTATCTGGAAGAGCCAAGTTTCAGTGTTTGCTTTAAGCTTCAACAATAAGGTGAAACATCTCAATAAGGTGAGATAGCTTCCTCAGGAAGACGATATGTTCTGACTGGTTTATGTGAGTCCTCCAAAGGTTCATGACTGGAATTTGGGGTTCTGTTTGGCAGTGCTTAGGGGGTGGGACCTTTAGAAGGTAAGGCCTAGAGGAAGGCTGTCCAGTTTGAGGGGCACCATGCTCGGAAAGGACTAATGTAGTTTCCATGGGACTCAGATTAGTTCAGGTAATAGTGGGTTGTTACAATGTGAGGGCACCTCCGTGTGCTTCACTTCTAAATAAAGCCTGTACTCTTCTCACTGTGGGATCACTTTGTGAAGTAGCCAAGGAGCCCTCACCAGAGACCAAACAGGTGGTCCTACCTGATTTTCAACCTCCAAAACTGTGAGCTAAATAAACCTCTTCTATTTTTCATAAAGCAGCTTTAGGCATTTTGTTATAGCAACAGAAAATGCATTAAGAGCTGAGCTGAGAAGTGGATTTATACCTAGAAAAAGTCCCATACCCACAAATCTAGATCCCTGCACAGCCAAAGGAAAAGGTTGCTTCATTCATGTTGTCTACTTCATGCTAAAGAGCTTGCTTTGTTTGCGTGGAATCTGTAGAAATTTCATTTTTTTGTCACTGGCAGGAAAACATGTTAAAAAGTTAACAATGTTTAAGTGTAAATTTTAGGCAACAGCATACAACTAGGTGAGATTTTATAGTGAAAACATTAGAGAGTATAATCAATTTTGCAAAAATCAGGAGTTCTAAAAAATGAACAAACAACTATGGTAAAAAAATAAAATTTGAAATATAAAATAAGTCCCATTTATTCCCTTGCACCAATATCTAAATGAAAATAAACTTATTTTATTAAAAAATGAATCCACAAATTGATTTTTTAATATTCATGGTTTGCCTCTTTGCCTTTCTCATTAAAAATTGTTCTGCCTCTAAAAACACTTAGATATTCTTTAAGTGTTAGAAATGAGTTAACATGTTTCTACTAATTTGTAGCTCTTTAAATGTTTGCAGGTTGAGTCATGACAGTAAACTAAACATAATATATCCACCTTTTCCCAGTACTTCTACCAAATCGATTATAATTCAGTGGATGCACCATGATACCATAATGTTAAGTAAAATAAGCCAGAAACACAAGCTTAATTATTATGGGTTTTCTTATGTGGGAAACCCAAAATATAATAATAAAGATCCAAATAGTAAGAAATAGATCATTTTGCACAGGGGCAGCGGATCAAGGGGGGCGGGCAAGGAAAAGCAGAGGATAATAAGCAATGAAGATGTGTCATGCACAGGCTCCAACTCCCAACGTGGGTACAATCATTATGTACTGTAAATATGTACTATTAAAAAGCAAAAATGAAAAAAATAAAGACAAAATGTTTTAAAGAAAACAATTTACTTTAAAAATAGGGATAGTGTGGATAGAAGTGTGTCATAAGTGGATGAAACATTTTGGGAAATTACTGGAAAATAGATAATAGCAAATAGATGAGATCAGGTTATCAAAAACAAGTGGAAGGCCGGGGATATAGCTCAGCAGTATAAGTGCCTGCCTGGCAAGCACAAATTCTTGGTACCAAAAAAAAAAAAAAAAAGTGGAGAAAGGGAGATCATTAAACTTTGGCAGTTTGAGCCAGGTGTGGTGGTACACACCTGTAATCCCAGCCCTTGGGAGGCTGAGGCAGGAGGATCATCTAGAGTTCAAGGTTAGCCTGTGCTACATATTGTGTTCAAGGCCAGTTTGAACTGCATAGTGAGATCTTTCTCAAAACAAGCAAACAAACAAGCCAAACTTTGGCAGTGGAAATTACTTCAAAGGAAAAAGAAACATTAATCACAAGGTAAACACATTTAAATACCAAGATGTGGCTTCTGTGTAATTATCAGAATATTTAATTACAAAAGTTTGAGACCATGAGTTTCCTTGCCTTTTCCTTGTTTATAGAAAGCTTTTCTCAGCAAAGAAAATAATTCATGGCATAGAAGAAAAAATGAAAAACAGTACCACATGAGCATAAATATTTAATTAAAACGAAAGGCAGGAAGAATTAAAGTTTTTAAAGAACTAGCACTAAGACAAATAACTAGAAGCTAGACAATAACTGTTGTCACATCTGTAGCATATACGAAATCTTACAAATAAAATATAAAGGCAAAATAATTGTTATGGAAAACATAAAAATAGGCAATTTAATGATACAAAAATTAAAAATCCAACTTATCAAATCATGTTACAAACCCCTATTCATGCATACATTGTGTGTGTGTGTGTGTAAAATGACGGGTCCTACGGATATCCTGCTAACAAAATTAAGTCTACTGACTGGGTAAAACATTAAATAACACCACAAACTCAGGAATTGCAACTATGACAAGTGCTATAGAAAAGGTATTCAGGGCTGGGGATTTAGCTCAGCGGCAAAAGCGCCTGCCTGGCAAGCGCAAGTTCGTGAGTTCGGTTCCCGGTACTGGAGAAAAAGCCAAAAAACAAAAAAAAAAAAAAAAAACGAAAAGGTATTCAACTTCACTGGTAAAGAAAATAAAAATCAAATAATAAAATCTGCTTTTTACCATCAGGCTATAATTATACACAGCAATAACAGCCAGGATGGCCAACCAGGCTATGGGGAAATTTTAACTCTACAATACTTCTGGGACTGGGGATTTAGCTCAGCGGCACAGCGCCTGCCTGGCAAGTGCAAGGCCGTGAGTTCAATTCCTGGTACTGGGAAAAAAACAAAACAAACAAACAAACAAAGAAAATACAATACTTCTATTTAGAGTATAAATCAGTACATCTATTTGAGAAAACAAGATAGCAGTATTTATAAAAATATTAAATGTATATATCATTCAACGTGACATTCTACTTTCAGACAACATATAGTACCTCTGGTAACTTATATACATTTCCATAAAGAGCCATTAACAATTTTTTTTTACTTATTTTAAAATAATGAAAAAATATAAATGTTGACATGATCACACAGTTGATATGTGATCATTAAAAAATAATGGACAATAAATACAGCACATTGTAAAGTGAAAAATGCCTACTGCTAAGCATGGTGTGCATTATGATAAATTTACATATAAATCACACAAAACTATTTTTGCACTTTCTTTGCACATTCGTGTTTGTGTAGATAAAAGAGAGTCTGAAAATATTATCCTACTAACTACAATGACCAGCTCTAGTGACGAAAGTTGTATTCAAGCACCGAGAGATGTGTGGAGTTAGGAAGAGGGAAGATGATGGGAAATGAAATAGGATCTTAATTTCTATTCTGTGCCACAGTAGCATTTACACACTAAAAATACTTGTGTCATCTGAGTAATTTAAATTCAATAAATATATAGGAAAAATATTTGCTGTCCATTATTATGAATTTTTATTACCGCAAACATATGGATTTTATAATGGAAAATTTATTTTTTATTTTAAAGAAAAAAACAATAAAAACAATGACACAAAATTTCAAAACAAGATAGTAAGGGCGAAACAATGGTTAATACAATGTGTATTGTTGTCTTCAAAGTAGTTGCTCAGATTACAAGATACAGGCATGAAAATTTAATTGAACCGTATAAGCACAAGCCTTTCTTTTCAATGAAGTGATAGAAATCAGTAGTATAACTATTTAACTATTATATATTTTTTTCATTTTTCCCTTCCTTCTTTTCTCCTTTCCCTCATCCGAGTTTCTCTTTCCTTTTTCTTCTCATTTCACAATATCTATTGTACATTTTGGATCTTATTTACTCTTTCAGCTTGGAAAATTTCCTTAAACATATAAAAATTAAAGTAAAATGGTTTATAAAGGTGAGAAAAATGGCAAAGAATTTGTTCAATAAATACAACTGTATTACAATGAGCAAATTGTAATGAAAACCAGAGATGAAACCAATTGTCATATATATTAAGTACTACTAACTACAATGACAGAAACACAGGCTTCATGATACTGGCTTCTTATAAGGTAGAATTCAACGGGGAAATATTCAAGAAACAAATGCATAGTAATAAATGTTAAAAAGCCCTTAGAGATTTTAGTCATGAAGCATTTCCTTAAAAATGAAATGGAATTGTAAAATAAAAACTTTTAGGAAACTGCCATCATAAATAGAAACCTAAATAAACCTTAGAACGTTTGTATATGTACCTCTCTATCTGTGTGTGGAAAGGGGAAAATGTGAGGAGGAGGAAAATGCAAGCTAGTATTCAATGATTTTTTTAAAACCTCCATGTAATATTTATTACATACTTACCAACAAAATGTGTATATAGGCCACATGAAACAATAATAGTTGGAAATACATCTATCATCAAAACTATGAAGTATAAAAGAAAGTAGAAAGATATTTTAAAATACTAGATTAATGAACAAATGTCAAGGCAAAATTCTATATGAGGCAAAAGTATCTTTTAAGAACTAATGTGAAATAAAGACAGTTTAAGATAAAAGATATCTTTTAAAGAATTCATAGCCAGGATCCCTATCCAGAAGAAATTGTAAAGTAGTTTCCATAGACCAAAAAAAAAAAAAAAAAAGGAAAAGAAAAAAAGTAGCC